GGAAAGGTTTCGCGTGTGGGCGGATAGGGATCAGAAGGAGCGAGCCGGAGTGGGAAAGGGATAGTATGCAAATGCAAAACCGATCTTTTTTAAGGGGTGCTGAACCTCTAAACAGCAGTTTTTGGGGCATTTTTGATTATTTTCTGTTCAGAAAACTATGAGGTATATTCTAAATCGGTTTGCGGTACCAACTTTCCTCTACTATTGAGGTTCTACACGAATTTTAGTTTCGTAAAGTCATCAAAGTTTTTTGGTTTTCCAGGGTCTTTTAACTTGCAATACCAAGAAGAGTAAAATTCTTGCGCGCACGATTTTACGGACACCATTGCACCCACAGCTTTCTTATTTTGGGGGGAGGAAGGTACTACTAATACCTACAAATTGTCACAGGATTTTTTTGATCTGCCCATTTTGAAATTTTTTGTGGCAAATTTAAGAATTTTACAAAAAGAAAATATCTTGAATTTGCCACAAAAAATTGCAAAATGGCCAGATCAAAAAAATCCTGTGACAATTTGTAGGTATTAGTAGTACCTTCCTCCCCCCAAAATAAGAAAGCTGTGGGTGCAATGGTGTCCGTAAATTCGTGCGCGCAAGAATTTTACTCTTTTTGGTATTGCAAGTTAAAAGACCCTGGAAAACCAAGAAACTTTGCTGACTTTACGAAACTAAAATCCGTGTAGAACCTCAATAGTAGAGGAAAGTGAATACCGCAAACCGATTTAGAATATACCTCATAGTTTTCTGAACAGAAAATAATCAAAAATGCCCCAAAAACTGCTGTTTAGAGGTTCAGCACCCCTTAAGCAAAGCAGAAGGGTGGGGTGTAGTCACGGTGTTGCCCCGTTACAGTCTTTTGTCATGTCCAAGCAGCAAATTTCTAGGGCCGCAGCCCCCCCGCCGGACGCTTTAGTTTACTCAAATATAAAATATATATAAGTGATTTACCGGTCACATTATTTATTTGATTATGCATATCAGTAAATCGTGGGACTGAAATGGTCGGGCCGAAGGCCCGACCATCGCCGCCGGCAGGCCAAGCAGGCCCGGCCCCTGCCGAACGGAGTTGCCGGCGCAGCGAAGTGGAGCTGGCAACTCCGTTTGGCGGAAGGGCGGGCCTGCTTGTTTATTCGCCGACAGTATCTCATGTGTGATGCAAGATAATTTTTTAAGCAAATTTATTGCCTGCGAAATGTCTCTTTTTTCCTCCAATTTAAAAACACCTGGAACAAGTAAATCGTTGCCGTTGTTTTCAGAGTAGTTTTTAACCTAGTTTTGCATCAAACGGCTTTCCTTCCCGCATTAGTACGACGTAATCCGTGCTCCCTCACTCCATACCTCCTCCTCGTACCTCTCTTTCTTCCCGCCATCCATTTTATTATTTTTCCATCCTTCACGCGGCTCCTACGAGATAGGATAGAAAATGAGTCTTCTTTCACACGCCGCACCTTCTATCTATCCATCTATCTAAGCAGTGGACGAGCTTATTGCATTTCACGCGTGTCATTCCGACTCGGAGGATCATCTCTCCAAATCCGCCAGCGCCGTGCTCCAGTCTCCCCTCTCCCCCTTCCTGCCGCGCCTGCGCCCCTATATCTTTCCTTTATTTCTGTCTGGTCGGCCGGCAAGCTGCCGCCCTCTGTCTCGTTCCAATTCCTATTATCGGCTCCGTAAACTCCCCCTCGCTTACCCTTTCCCCTTACCGTTCGTTCATATTGAAATGGGGAGTACGCGCGCCGCTGGAGCTCACGATGACGCTCTTCACACACTCCTGTCGGCCCCTCGTTTAGAGAACTCATCGCCCGTGCTCGCTCTCTCCGCCTTGGCCCCGCCCCCCACCCTGCAGTGGTGTTGAACCGAACCCCCTCTTTTTTCCTCCCGTACAGTCCATCATTCCCGACACTTGATCATGCGTCCGATCGCTCTGCCGCTCCCGCCGGCTCCGGAGCGCATTCTCCCGCGCCTTCTCCGGCAGCCTCCTCCAGCATCCTCCTCGCCTCGCTCTCAATACCTTCTCTCGTTTTCTGCTCTCTCATTTTTTCCATTCCTTTTTTTATAAACGGAGAAACCGCTGGAGTTTATTTTTTTTCTCTGTGCCCTATCCCTCAAACTTCTCATCCCCCAGCCCAGCCGCTCTGATATTCCCCAGAGACGGTGGACCCGTCGGAGTGGCTGATTGACTGATTGATTGATGCAGCCGAGTTGTGCTGCCCCCATCCCCTCCCTTTCCCACCCTCCTCCCTCAAGCCCAGAGACAAATTTACGACCATTCATATTTAACGTTTGGAGAGTGGGTAGCCTCCCCCTCCCCCCTCCCCTTCTCTCTCTTCCTCTACCTTCATCTCATGCAGGCTTGGCCAATTGGATTCAGCAATGCTCGACGTTGCCGCAAACGCGGTACTAGTGATTCGAGTACGATTCGAGTCCGGGTTGGAGTTCGAGTTCACTGGAAAAGCGGAAAAACCAAAGGTGGGCAGTTGCAGGCCTTTAGCACAGCGACGTACAACCACAGTCCGTGTGGCATACCATCTGATGATTTCGAAACAGAGCTCGCAACAGAGCCTAAGCCAAAATGCAGAAGAATGCAAGGAAGAAGAAAACGGAAATCACCATGCTTTTACATGGAACTTCCGTTTTCTTGTTCCCTGCATTCTTCTGCATTTCAGCTTTACCAGAATGTTTTATATGCGACGTGGAACATTCCAACGTGCTTTTGGGACGCACTTGCCTCCTCCGCTCGTCGTTCTAATCAGGAGCACAGTGCGAGTGACAATTTTCCGCACCTGGAAGTGCGGAAAAAGGACTGGACAACTTTCACCCGTACAAAAGCGATTGGACACTTTCCGTACACTATGGTGCAATTTGGGACGTTCGCACTAGCGCAGCAGGGAGTAAAAATCTGCCAGCTAACGTTTTAGTGTGAGTACACACTAGCAACAGCAACTATGTACCGACCGCCGGGGCGCCGGGGCCAAGGGGGACGACGACGCTACCAGTAAGAACACGAGGCTGAACTGCACGCATAGCGTCTTGACCACATTATGTGCAGGCGCTGGCTCTTGCGGTGTGGCCAGACGGGAAAAGGGGGGGATGGGGGGCATCCGAGGGGCGTCTGGAGGGCGCCACAGTGCGCCAGGGCCTGGTGAGAATGATGGAGTGCGCTGGTGATCGCGGTGATAATGTTGGTAATGGTTGTCGTGATCTCGGTGGTGACAATGGGCGCGGCAGCGCCGCTTCGCTTGCGAGCGCCTCCTCGAAAGCCCAGCGAGCGAGAGATGGAGAGCCTTTGACGCTGTTGACTCCCCCGCCGCCCGCTGCTGCCTTCATTTCACTTTGCGCAATGATGCATAAATTGCAGATATTTTAATTCTTGTGCGGCGCGAGCGACTCTGCGGCGGCGGAACCCATAGCGAGCCAAGCGAGCGGGCCCTTTTGTTGTCGGCCGGCGCTGACAATGATGGCGCCGCATTCGTCAACGGAAGCCGCGCCGCGCCCGCCGCGGCCACCGGGACGCACCGGGTAAAGTTCATTAGGCGCAAAACTAGATTCCCGCCTCCTCGTGCTCTGCCGTGCTCCACCGTGCTCTCCTTCGCGGCGGTAATGAGTGCGAGAGAGACGGCAGCGCGGGCCGGCGCGAGATAAGGCACGGCGTCGTCTGGGCCGCCACTCGCGGGGAGGTCCTCAGACAGCATCAGGGGCGTCCTCGACGGCAGCAGCGCGGCGCAAAGTCACTGCCGATCAGACTTTCGCGGGAAGGGCGCGCGGCAATAGCTTCGACAGCGGACGATAATGTTTCGCGACAGTTTCGTTTTTCCCTGTTGCCGCGGGTTTGTTTTGTTTGTGCGGCGCGTGTGCAGGTGTGCATGCCACGGCGCGGGCCGAGCGCGGGAGCATGAGGGCGGCAGGTCGGCACGCCAGCCTTTGCAGCAGCGGGCATGCCACCTTGGAAGTTGGTGCGACTGCTTGGCGATTTACGGCACGTTCGGTTGGCCACCCTGATAAGCTGATAAGGCCAACAACTGTCCTGTCGTGTCCTCTCTCCCCGCCCGTGGCCCCGCGCCCTGGACAGCCCCCGCTCCCGCCCCCACGGCTGGAGTTTACCACGCTGGAAAATTCTCCCCCGCGCGATTTATTATTTTCTCTCGCGACGCAGCACAGTGAGGCGGCCGGGGTGAAGGGAAGGGGAACTAATGTCTTTCTTTTCCTTCGAGGGGAAAAATCTAAAAGTGCCTCCGCCACTGCTGCTGCTGCTTTGCGCCGCTTTGCGCCGCTTGTGAGGGGGAGGATTGTTTGTAGCGGCCGGCAGCCCGCAAAGATGAAAGGCAAGAGATAATCTCAGTGTCTCATCAACCCCATTTTCCGCTCCCTTGTTTCAGAACCAAAGACGGAGATTGTGGGCGGGCCGGAGCTGTTCATTGACCGGGGCTCCACCATCAACCTCACGTGTGTCATCCTGTACAGTCCGGAGCCACCGGCGTACGTCTACTGGAACCACAACGACTCGGTAAGGGCAGCGGCCAATAACACAGTTTGTACAACAATTTGTTTCATTTACAAAGTAAATAGAAACTATGTATAGTCATCAAATCATGGTTTGTTTTAATGTGATCGTTTGACCAAAACATCTCTCACAGACTGTTCAACTCTATTTTCTCCGCGTCCATTCTTTTAACATTCATGCAATCTACTTTTAAAGAAAGAAGGAAAAACCCCTTGCAGTTTCTGTCCGTCACTCTCGATGCGCTGCCTTTCCAGATCATCAGCTACGAGTCGCCGCGCGGCGGAGTGACGGTGACCACGGCCAGGGGGGACACGACGACCAGCGTGCTGCTCATCCGGAAGGCACGGCCCTCGGACTCCGGCCAGTACAAGTGCAACCCGTCCAACGCGCAGCACCAGACCGTCAGCGTGCTCGTGCTCAACGGTAAGTCCAAAAATAATTCTTAAATAGGAAAAATTACCCACTGCGAAAATTACACTCGTAAATTTACACTTTCGATGTTTTAAATTTTATATTTTATAAATATGTTGTAAATCTATGACAGACTACTTTTGCTTCTCAATCAATTCCAAGTCGATACGAAGTTCTTGTAAATGTACAATTTCATACAGCAATTTCACGACACACATTACGGAAAATTACCTGTAAATTTGCTACTATTTTCCTTAGTGTCATCACATGATTTTACAACAACGAAGTTGTAGTTTCGCAAACTGTCCTTATTTCCATATTTTGCTCGCACGGAGTACACGAATAATTCCTCGTTTTGCAGGAGAGCTCCCCGCCGCCATGCAGCACGGCGGCCAGGGCAAGCACCAGACGTCGCACCTCGGGCCGCTGCTGTTCGGCGCGCTGGCCGCGCTTCTCTGGCACGGTCACTCCTCATAGTGAGGGCCTCCGTGAGGGCCCCCGCGAGGACTCCGAGCTGGTCCCCCGGGCCCCGCTGCGGTCCGCGCCGCCCTGGAATAGGCCTCGCCCCCCTCCGCCTCCCCCGCCGCCACCCCGGGGCCCCCCGGGGGGCGCGCCGCTCTCACGGCCCCCGGAGGACGGCCCGCCATTGGCCGCCACGCATCCGGCCGCCCCTCCGCATCCGGGTGGCCCCCGCGCGCCGCCCCCACATGCCGCCCCCGCCGGGCGGAGGGCCGGGACAGATAACAAGTTGTGGTGTGAACACTACTCGTGGTGAAACTGTATGTGATATGTCCTGTGTGACAAAAGTAAGTTACGTAATGGTTGTGCCGCTGGAGCCGGCGTTCCAGCGGTGGCGGCCGAGGGTGCTTGCCCCTGGGCTCAAAAAAAATAATATGCAGAGTTACAGAGAAAAAGAGAGAGAGAGGAGGCGGGAGGGCCCTAGTTCACATTTGTTGAACCGAAGCGAACCGTACGACCTTTTCGCTAGTCCCACTACGGTAATGGGCATGGTTTCCCTGCCCCCAACGCTCTCACTCTCTCAACTTGCCCACCCGGCCGGCCCCTCCGCTGGCACCGCTGCCGTGCACTGTGGAGTACTAACGTGTATATTTTTATCAGTATTATTTGGCTCCCCCGTGCAGGAGCACATAATTGTTTTTGTTATTTCTGTTATTGTTTTCGGCTTGGGTGAGGGTGACTGATGGTAATGCTTTTTGTACATAAATTTATACACAACGAGTGCAGACATAGAGACGACTGTTGTCGCCATTCGTCGCATTACTCTTGTCAGGAAAGGAACCGAGCTGTGAAAATTTTTCCGGCAAGTGAAATGTGTTAGAATTTGCTGAGATCATTATTCACTTAAAAAAAATGTTTTGCAAATTTGTTCAAAAATGCGTAATTGTTTTATAAACTATCAGATTCAGTTTGATGTATTGCATTTCAATCATCTTCCATTTAAAAATTCATTTCACAAGTTCATGGTGTATGCCCCTCATTTTATTCTCGAATTTAATCATGTGCGCGTGTACCCTATGGAAATTTACCTAAAGGCCTTTGTGTATTTAACCCCTAATTAAGTTTAGGTTTTATACGAATTCTTGGGCTTATATTGGCCACCGCGTCAGATAATTGTTGAGCATCATGCCGTGGGTTAGGCAATAAAGTAAAACCTTATTACGGTTTTCGTAAAACTTTCCATATGTGTTTGAGTATTAAGGTGACAGAGTTTCCTAAACGCGAGCAAAATTTTTACGCCAGGCGTGATGAAGGTCGGTTCCCGATTGGCCGCGCGCTTACGGAGCGTGAAAATCACGCTTGCGTTTCGTGAACTCTGCATCCATACTGATGTTCATCAGAACGCACTTTGCCTACGGAGATGTCGTGACATATTTTCTTCCGTGCTAGCCATAATTGGAAACTACTTGTGATTTCCCTTTTTAAAAAGGCGGTAATTCTGTCAGATTAAGGTCACAAAAACATTTGAAACGTTTGAATTTGCTACAATGGCCGCAACACTTTTCCAGGATACTTATCCGATGTCTAGAAACCTTCGAGGGCAATATACTATACTTCCTGAACGGCATTACGACTAAAAGATAAACAGAATATTTGTAAATAAGAGTGTATATAACTAATATTTCGTTTCTTTTTGTTTTGCTAAGCCGTGCTAATAACGGGTAATGTAAATAACAGTTGCAAAACGCATTCCTTTGTATAAAAAAATAAAGTTTTATTGAAAGTAAGAAAGATCCGGATTGCATTTTCTTTCATCGACCAATACTTTAACACACAACCACCACAACAAAATTGTGATCAAAAAATCGGGATGTGCTGTAGGAATTTTTCCGAAGAGTTCGATTAGGACGTTGTTAAGAAACAAAGAAATGCAAAACCAAATCTGCAGACAGGGCTTTCTTTAACCCCACCACTGTAAATTGGCTGCGTTGTTGGTACTTAGTTAATTGAGGTGAGGGTGGAGAGCGCGGGGGCGTCGTCTCGTGATGGGAACGTTGGCAATTTCTCAAACCGGATTAGAGGTGCCCGCCCGCGTGTCCCTAATCCAGACCGGTTGGTGGCGCAGCAGCGCAGCGGCGCACCCCACCACAAATAAGGGGGGAAACAACGCTCCAAGTCAGTGACATATATGAAAGAAGACCGCGGAGGCTTCCGCGCGGAGTAAGAAATAGAGGGAGGTCCGACCCTGGACTCTTACCGCCCCGCCTTGGCCCGACGATTGCTTCCTCGTCGCTCAAAGAAGCGTCCGTTATGTGGCAGGCGAAGTTGACTAGCCGTGATTTATGCGAGGTATAAGTTTATCTGGGTTAGGTCTGTGGAGGGTTCCTCGCCTTGGCAGCCCTCCCCGCCCGCCACCGGCAGCGCAGCGCTCGCCCGGCGGCGATGCGGACGAGCCCGGCGGAGACGTCGCAGGCACATCGGGCCTCATCCCTTCACCTCCCCGCCCGGGCGGCCCGGACCACACGACCCGCCGCGCGACTGCGACGCCCACTCTAGGGGTGGGGAGGGGGTGGGGGGTGAGGGAGATCCGCCCTCGGGTCCGCCCTCGCACTGCAGGTCACTCGTCCTGTCGTCCTTGGAGCCTCCTTTTGTTTTTCTGCTCCTTCCCTAGAAGAGGGGCCCATTAAATTGCACTGGAAATGCAAGTGTGTGAATGTCGCTCATCTGCAGGTGAGCGACATTCCATTCGTACACTTAGGTGGGTAAACGTGTGAATTTTCTAGGAAAAATTCACACCTTTAGCCCCCTAAGTGTACGAATGGAATGTCGCTCACCTGCAGGTGAGCGACATTCACACACTTGCATTTCCAGTGTGGGCTTTGTGGGGGGGCTGCGCCGTGCCCCGTGCCACACCGTGCCCGGACCTACAAGTTTGCGTAGCCTCACAGAGGGGGGCCCGTCTTTTGTAGAGGCCCGCACATGAAATGTTTCAACTCATTATCAAAGAAGAAAACACGGCAAATTGTGAGTGGTATTGTGTTTCCCGTCACCGAGCCGTGTACTACCCGCTGTCCGGAAAAAAACCAGAGAGAAAGGAAAAGGAAACACGCCGCACCACAAAGAATGACAGCAAAGTTGAACTTTTCAGCAGATGATGCATTTGCAACACACTGGCGTGCAGATGCAAGTGCTTGTCACTATGTGACAACTTTCAGTGTTGAATGGATATTTAAATATTGAAATATAGAGATCTTGATGACCGTCTCGAGCCGAGATACTTTATAGACGCTTTAGAGATGCTGTGGAGAATTTCTTGAGACTGTATTGAGACAGGTCATGAGCCGCAATAGACTTTGACAAGACCGCGTTGAGACAATTAGGAGCTATTACACGGGTTTCTCGAAAAAGTCTCGAGAACATCTCGTTTTGGTGAGGTTGCTGAGACAGAATTGAAATATTTCCTAGAGGCGGTTTGGAGACATTCTTGAGACAGAATTAATAGAAATGGCGCCCAAAAATGGAAATAAGCAGACGACGGCCCTGAGCGAGAGTCGAACCTAGAGTCTTTCTCTTTCCGTCGTTTGCCAAGGCAGGCCACCGACGTGAGCCTAGTCACAAGGCACAAGGCAGGCGCGCGGCAGAACCAGGGGCAGAGCCAGCGACAGAGCCAGGGGGAAAGCCAGGGGCAGAGCCGCGGTCAGAGCCGGGGTCAGTGCCGCGGACAGTACGGGGCCAGGGGCAGAGCCGAGCAGTCCTTCACTATGGAGACAAGCGTAAACCACTTTCTATTTGTTCTTAATTTTCTTCTGATTTTTAAAGCATTTATTTAAAAAAACAAACAACTGATCTTTCCTTTCCTTTTGTAAGATTGGTAAAGGTTTACGAACGTTTCTTTCTGATCTTTTAAATGCTTTTTAAACGATTTTTCCAGTTTTTCCTTGATTTTTCCGTAGTGATTTCTTTTAATTGTTCTATTGAGTGGTGTACACTGTCAGTGAAGGCCCTCGGGCAGAGCCGGGCAGGCCGCAAAGCCGCGCGCAGAGCCGCGGGCAGAGCCAAGGGCTGAGCCAGTGGTAGAGCCGAGGGCAGAGCTGCTGGCGGCATAGCCATAGGCAGAGCACGCGCACACGCCTTGTGACACTTTTTAAACTATGTCATTATAAAATGTATAAATAAAAGTATTTTCACGGGGCATTTACATCCACAAAACACAAGACGTTCACAAACAACCGAACTCTAGGAAACCGGCTTTAAACTGAAATTTAAGATTTAAAACATTAAGTAACGACGAACAATAATACTCGATGATCAAAAATCGAAGTTCGAACGACATGTTTCACATAAATTTCATTGTTACCAAACGGAGTTTGACATGTTAATGCAAGCTGTCATCGTGACAGTGCACAGGGCGCCGCAAACTATTATACATCCATACAGTCTCTAGAAATTCTCAAATGTCGAATATTTTTCTTTACATTATTTGTAAACCATGAAATAGCCTGTACGCTACGTGCCTGAGTGATTTTCCCCTGGTCGTCAGAAGCTATCATCGACACGATCATACACAATCACACACAATGTGAGACAGTGATTGTCTTGACACAATCACGTGTACACTTTTTTGGTCAGTTCCACGCCCCTCGGCGCACCCAAAAATGAGCGTTTTCCACACTCTAATAAAATCAACACAAAAGTTTGTAACTTTCATTTGCAGTTTTTCCCAGGGTTTTTAGCATCCATGGTGCAAAAAAAATTGTATTCTTTCGCAAACATTTTTTTTTATTTTGCAGTTCATTCTATGTCTTCCCCACTCGACACCGTATTAGAAACAGAAGTGCAACGAGTTTATGATTCCCCCTGTCGTGGAGAGGGGGGGGGGGGCTCCTCCGACCCCGGCCGGGCCCTTCGGTCACGCCCCGCCCCACCCCCCGGCGCTATTGGAATGCTGCACCTCCACTCCAGCCAGCCGGCCGAAAATTTCGCCAGACATCACGTGGCCGCCCCTGGGGGACCTCAGGACACGGCCAGGGATGAGAGAGGGGGGTGGGCGTGGGGGACGCGGGCAACGGCGGGCACTCGCAGGCGAGCCTTCAGAGCGCGCTTTCATGGCCCCGCGGTTCCGCCCCACTTTTTTTATGGAGTGATGCGGTTCATATGAGGGGGAGCTGGAAGGTGGGAGGCGGCGAGCAGCAGAGCGGGCACTCCCTGCTGGCGCTCCGAGCGTCCGTCCACCTGACGGCAGCTCTCGCCGAGTCCCGCCGCGTCAACGAATAAGCGGACCACGGGGGGAGGGGGGGGGCGGAGCGGGCGAGCGGTGACATAGGTATTTGCTGTGGTGCGTCATAGACAGTGAAATTCCAGGAAAGTCGGGGCACAACACACGGAATAAAATAAAAGGAGTGAAATAGCAAATATGCTAGCTCTGATGGCCTTAAGGGTAGTAGCTCTCAGCTAATTTTTGGATGATACAGACACGTTAGTCTCACTGAAGTGGCAGAGGAACATTAAACCAGATCTAGCTATACTCCATTCTTTCTTTCTGCCCCCTAAAGACTTGCCCCTTGGACCCATATCAGGATGCCGGCGCACGCTCACACACGATAAAGAGAACATCTTCAAATTAAAGCAGATCCCTTCAAAACGCGTGAACTCGAAAACCAAGCAGATCGCTTACGGTTCAGGATATCTTTTTTTGCCGTGGGCCGGGGCCGGCCTTACCTGTATGCGCTCAGCATGTCTCTTGCGCGCAGTGTAACGCCCACAGGTGAAGGCCGGGCACTGCGCGGTTAAGTTAATTTACTTTTTGTTGTGTTAGTGTCTCGGCCGTAAGCTCCGGGCTGTGTGCAAGTTCATAAAGGCACGGCTTCGTGCGGGAGGAGGATGGGATGGGCACGACGGTCGGGCGTCGGCCGGGCGGGGTGGGCCTGGCGTCGGCCAGATGCACTGATTAGGGGTTGGGAGGGAAAGGGAGGGGAGGGGGGCATTTTTAATAAGGAAGACAGCAGCAGACACCCCCAAAAATTGTAATACTGTACATAAATTAATATTCCAAACAAATTTAACAGGATACTGTGCGCGTTTCACAGATTAAACATTAGCTCTCCGTGACAGAGCATGAAATCATCAACCACGCAGACCGTCTGCAGCGTTGCAGCATGAGAGAAGGGCGCCCTTCTCTCATGGCTGCAGTCGTCTCGGGTACGGGTACGGGAAAAAACGGCAATTGAGTTCGCCCGTGGTTCACATCTATTGTTAGTTACCGCACATTGTCATGGTTGCCGTCCGACAGCGCCGGCCCCAGCTCTAGTTTCTGGAACCGAAGCGAGCGTGCGGTGCGACCTCCGCATGCAATTTCTCTCCTACCTTACGGTCCGACGGTAATGGGTCTCCTGCGCTCTCACTCTCTCAACATGCCCACCAGACCAAACCTTTTCGAGTTTCCCTCCCTTTCCACTCGTTTCGTCCTGCACGAGAAGAGCAAGGCTGGCTCTCGACGTCCCGTTCAACTTGATCAGAGCGACTCGTCGGTCAACTCCTCTTCAAGCTCGCTCTCGGGCCGTTTCCATGCTAACCGAAGCGGCCTCATCCGACCCAACTACGAGACCAAGTAGTATGCTCGCGCCTCAGATGCTGCCCCGATGCGCTGCACTTCTCCTGTTTTCGGCGTCCTGTCTGCATTCCACATCATCCTACCAGCCAGTGCCGGCGCTGGCCCTCCCTGCAGGAGGGCGGGGGGCCATCATCCCAAACACCGACACGTCCAGGCAGGACCCACAGGACCTCCCCCTGCG